CAAATTTTCAAAGTCCTCTTTCTTCATTAAACTGTAAAATTTCAAACTGCCTGTACCTGATGTTAAGTATAAGTGACCTTTTTTATTATATTTAGAAATTTGCGTTGCCAGTGGTATTCTCAGGCTAATTCTGTAGAACCACATTTCTGTTGCCTCAAATAAATTCTTAATTGGTGAGGAAATTGTCCAGCATTCACTGTCATATAAGAATAGTGATATTGCATAACAGTTCAGTACAGACAAACGTCTCATCTATGGATCTCTCATCAATGGACTTAAAATGAAACTGACAAAATCTACAGGCAAAATAAAAAAAGGTTTTGTAGGAAAATAACTTCCAAAGCGACAGTGATGTATTTCAAAATTTGCGGGCATAGTGGAACGAGTTGTATTAGTTCCCAAAGTAACCGCTTGACGGCCTTTCAATAGTAAACAAAGATGAATGTACAGTATATAAAGTACGATTAAATGGCGCGTGCGTGAGAAAGTATCTGTTAGAAATCCATTATTTTTGTTATTTTGATTAATATGTCTATTAATTAGATAATTATTTATGCCATATATACATGTTTGTGTGATTTATATTATGATCATAACAACTGATAGTTGTTATAGAGGTTTATAATTAAAACAAATAATCCGTTCCCATCTATGGACAATCGACATTAACAGACCACCCTTTCCCTTATTAGTCCGTTGATGAGATGTTTGTCTGTACTCTTTTTTTTGTTTCTTATTCAAGCTTATATATTATATGTCCTCACTATTAAGTATTGTAATAAAAATAAAAATATAAAAAAATCAAAAGCATTAATATCTCCTCCTTCCCTCTCTAATTTCGACCATGTGTCACACTAACTCTCACCACTCTCTATTTAACCATACAAAAGCCTAATAATGTCCTACAAAAAACATTTTTTCATCCTTGGAAGTGAGGTCTGACGATCCAGAGAAAAAAAACTCTCTGGTGAAATAAATTATAACGATGGTAACTTAAAGTTGTGTGTTTTTTATTATATATATATATATATATATATATATATATATATATATATATATAATGCAAACGTTATTTTTACTGGTAAGCCGCATTTAACTAGAATGTCGCTGTTTCTGGTATTAGTGAGTGTCAATTTTGCATCATTCTTCATGAGAAAACTCCGAAAAATTGATCGATATTACCTGGGTTTCTTGCATGTACTGCCTTCTTTAACTTGGTCATAAATTCTAAATTCGTGACTGTGACTAGACCATTCCAAGAATTGTAATTTCTTTATTCGAACCCATTCTAGTGTGGATTTGTTTTGATGCTTCGGATCATTTTCGTCTTGGGATATCCAGCGCCGACATAAACCCAATTTTGGAAACGAGGGTAAGACAGTTTCGTTCAAAATTGCTTGGTATCCTGAAGGGACAACTGTGTCGTCAATGTATACTATTTTCCCTGTTCCAGGTACGGAAAAGAACTCCCAAATCATAATGCTGTCATCGCCATGTTTAAGTGTTGGCATCAATGTCTTCTCTTCAAATGCCATACTAGGAGCTTGTTAGACATATCATCAATCATTCGTTCCAAAGAATCTCTAGTTTCCTCTCATCGACCATAAAATCTTTTGTCAGAACGCTCCTAGCTCATTAATATGAGGTTGGTATATTTTAACCGAGGATGTTTATTCTTTTCCGTAATTAGTGGCTTTTTTCTAGACATTCTGCTATGAAGACCAGGATCGTTCAGATTTCATCGCACTTTAGTTCTATGCACATTCATTCTGACATTGGTCAGAAAAATTTTGGGAACTGGTAGATGTCACAGCAGGATTCACTTTGATTACGTAATTAGATGTCTACTTGCTCTCGCAGTTATTTTCGCAGACGGCCACATGTTGATTGCGATGCCATCATACCATATGTCTTCCATTTTATAAATAATTTGTCGTACCGTGGAGACATTCATTCCAAATAGTTCTGATAGCTTTTAAGCTATGTAATGTTTGAAAAAGTTATTTTGATCTTAGCATATCGTTTTAAATTTAGTTGGTAATTGCACCCTCTTACATGCACAATGTGTTATATTGATTGACAACAGTACACGCAGTTTACCGAAAAAGTAAATATGTGTCGTTTTTAATTTTACACATACACATAGTAATATTGTATAAATAACCCTGAAAATATATAGAGTGTAAATGTAAGGGTTTACTAATTTTTGCAAATCTTAATTTTTATTTTCTAAATAATATTTATATTAAAGCTCCTTAAAAAAATGAAAGTGGCGATAATTATTTTAATAAAAATTTCTTAATGAATATAAAGTCTAATTAAGATTTGTTGATTATTTGGAGAAAAAAAGGTATTTTTTTAATATTATCTCGGGAGCCGACTTACTTTCGCGTATCACAGTATATTATATCACTTCAACGTTAAAAATCCCATTAATTATTTACCCATTAATTATATATATATATATATATATATATATATATATATATATATATATATATATATATAATTTTTATAAAAAAAATTATTACATAAGTATGTTATAAAATCACTACAAAAATAGCCATTTTGTTTCAACACAATCTGTGTCTTATCAAGTGATGATGTTGAA